GTGTCGCACTTCTTAATTGACAGGGTTAGGAAGTATTTGGAAAGGGTTGTGGATAGGTTTGGACAGACAACAAGAGCAAAGACCTGCCTGAAAGAGTGGAAGGAGAGGTGAGATCAACTGGAGGGGGAGATGCTATAGCTCTTCTGACTCTGGGGGCTCAGCGGACTGTGAGAGCCTGGCTACAACCCGAGTCAAAGCCCTGTTTTCGGCCAGCAGCTGCTCATTCATCTGTCTCAAAGTGTGAATCTGTTTGAGCTGGTGAAGGTTCTGCAAAGTGAGACATGGAGGAGATAGACAAAGACAAAACAGAGAATATAAAACAGCACAGAAACATGAATTTGGCAGACAAGCAAGAAAAAAGAGAGCAGCAATGAAAGGTGGGAAGCAGTGAAAGTACAGAAGAAGCCAGACAACACACTGGAGCACTGGAGAAACTAAAAAGAAGCCACACGAGGCATTTGTTTGTTTAAAACTTGGACCTGCCCAAACTTTCAATTTAATTGTAAAAATATCACTGTAAGAAAGATAAGAAATTGTTCTGCAGTGGGATGAGTTAATTTTGGCAAACCATATCTGGGCCATTCAATATGCAGTTCCATTGCAAGGAGTTGCCGAGTAAATCTAACCTGAAAGGTGCTGATAGAGAAGTTAGTATATTTACGGATCTCTTCATCAAGGTCCAGATGGCTTTATAAAATACAAGCGGCTTGCTTTTTCGAAAGAGCTTGCTATTAAACCTATTACCTTCAACTTGATACACAGAAGTATTTGAAGTGGAAAGGGAAATTGTATGCACGTATTAGATGCTCTGAATTCTTGCGTAACAGAGAAACATTACAATCCAGGAAACCTATGAGTGCCTACACTGCTTTCTGCTTCTCCTTTTAACAAACTCATATGGTTCAAGCACTAAGCACTTCCTAAAATATACAACTTCCCTCTAGATATAAACACATACCTTGTAGGTGGCAGCAATCTGGAAACAGATAATTAAGTGATGCAAACGTATCATCATCACCACCACCACCTGTTATAACCTGTTTTTCCCTCAAAATTGTGACCTAAGGCAGCCTACAAATTAAAGCCATTTAAGATATGTATCAGAAGTGTATTTAAGAAGTGTATCAGGGCACTTCTATATACTGGTCTGAGTATCTCTCATTTAGCTGTTAGGAAAAAGAAATAAAACCCTGTAATAAAGAGCAAATGCAAAGCATAGACATAATTTCTGTTTTAGAATTGTTTGTACACCAATAAGAGAGTTTTATTCTCCTTTAAAAGGATTGCTATCTGCCGAAGATATTTTTAAAGTAGACTATTTGCAAAACCAAGGAACACCTATGCTATTACCTTTTAATACAGATAAAATAAAAACTGGAATAGGCAAATCTTAATTGATTCATATTTTCAGCATTATATCTGAGCCACTGAATCTGCCTCCTGAAGAGGTGTCCTTCTTTCAAAAGCAATACATAATATACACATAACTGAGGTTAAATTTTCCAAAGAAAGTTAAATTTTCAAAAGAAACCTATAACTTCCTGTAGAGCAAATGACACCTGTAATAGGAAAATATCCTTTAGACTGGAGCAATTCTCTTTGTTGTTGTTTATTCAGGGAAGAACCTTAATCCATATACCCTGTTTCCCCAGAAATAAGACAGTGTCTTATATTAGTTTTGGCTCCCAAAGATGCACAAGATCTTATTTTCAGAGGACGTCTTATTTTTCCATGAAGAAGAATTCACAATTAATGTTGAACAAATAAATGAACATTTGTTATATACTGAACAGTAGTTGTCAGTATATAATAAATATACTGGCCCTCACACACAGGGCCACAAAAGATAAGGGCTGTAAAGTACCTGGTTCCCACACATTGTCTGGAGACTGTAATGATTCTCCCACGGCTGTTCCTGGACCACTTGTACAGCATGGACCACATTGCAGCTTCCGGCCACCAGGGGGGAGCATGCTTCCAAACAAAAACTTTGCTAAGTCTTACTTTCGAGGGAGCCTTATATTTAGCTATTCAACAAAACCTCTACTAGGTCTTATTTTCAGGAGATGTCTTATTTTCGGGGAAACAGGGAATGTATATAGCTTATTTAGTTGGTTTTTTTTTTTTTTAAAAAAAGAGAATTTGATACTAAACCCATGGGACTGATAAATAAATCCAGTAAAAGGACATTATGTATGTAAGATATGATAGCAATGTTTAATATTTATTTTTAAACTTTTTACAAGGCACATACAATAGATCTTGGTCCTTATCTTTATCCTTCCCAAGTGTACCTTTGGTACTGTTCCATTATCCAAGCAGAGGCCACGAAGAGAGAGAAGGCTAGTTCATTTTATGGGGTGGAGGGTGGGCTGAAGGAGTTAAACCCTTTCCCCATGTTTTCCTGTCATTCCCTCCATCCATGTCTCCATTGTGAATACAACCCTTGTTTTTGTAATGTAAAGTAGGAAAGGAGAATAACCAGCAAAAACGGGGAAAATGGTTTTCCTTCTTCAACCCCCCCCCCCTCCATAAAATAGACTATCCTTCTCTCTCTAGTGCCCCCTAGTGGCCTCTTTCTGGATAATGGAACAATGCCATACAGTTCTTTGTAAAGAGGTCCTTATAATATATGGCGAACCTGGTCTGTGCTGCTTTAATTTTGTTCTTCAGAGGTTTACACGAAATATATTTCATAAAAATGGAATCTGTTGAATCTGCTGATCAAAAAGGTCAACAGATCCAGAGAGCAAATTAAATGCTCATCATTGAAAATTAACGATAACAACCCACCTATCTATAATTTAGAAGGCTTAAGTGCTGAAAATTTCACACTGACTAATCTCACACAGCTGAGATATTTCTGTCTGTTAAGCCAGAAGCACCATGACCAAGCAATTCTGAGAAACCAGTGGTACCATTTATGCTAACAAATTCAGCTTTCTGCATCTTCTTACAAGTCCATTGTTGTCAGCAAAATAAAAATAAAATAACATAAAAACACAATTGCAATACAACCCTGCAAGAACATACATTCAAAAGGAGGTTTCTGGAGAAGTATTAAGCCCAAATGTAACAACAGTACAGAAGAGAATAAAGTAGGATGCATGCATATTCGCTTGGTTAGTTCAAGGTGACTTTGGCTATATTAAGAAGCAGTGCTCGAATTAAGGCATACAATGCATAAAACTTATGCCATTCAAGAGAGACATGCTGAAGATGGCCTGTATTCTCACATGTATACATACACTACTAACAGAATTATAATGAATACTGCATTTATTTTAAAACATTACTTCAATTAAGAAAAGACATAGCATTTCCATACCTTTACCAAGCATTAGTGTGGAGTTATTTTTTTTAAAGAGCTGCATTTTTCCTTTTATGAGTAATTTTGTCAAGTACAATGTTAGCTCACTGAATATGGTTTCAATTATATATGAAGAGTTTTGAATACCATAGAAACTGAAATCAGAACTTTTTTTAAAAACTACATACTCACACACAAAAAATCTGAGAATTTTTAATACTATGAAGTATTACTGGACCCATCTCCAAAAAAGAGGAAATGGCTTTCACCACCACGATTCCAAAATTTCAGCAGTTCCTGTTCTTGACGCAGTAACATTTCTTATTTTAAACAGCAATCTATGAATGGTTACCTCTTAAATTAAAGAAAAATAAGCATATGGTGGACTAATTTTTTTAAAAAATAAGGACACATTCTGAGAAAAGAAGCATTTGCATACTGCATAAGCCAATATAGGACTGCAAAGTAAGTTTAATATTTTTAGGTCAGTGGGGCAGTACAACATGTGGTATATGCATTAACAAGAAATAATGGCAGGCAAAAACAAAAAAAAAACAAAAACAATTTTCAAAATATGAGTCCTCTTTCAAAAGGAAAACTAGAAGTTTGATGCTTTCTTTTGCATTTATATTTCTACCACTGAGTCTTCAAGCAAGCCTTTAATGAGGTAGCGAGAAGAAATGCTGTTCTTTTATGTTTTCTCCTAAACTGCCACAAAGTGCCAAAGCTTCTAAACGAGAGTCTCAGTACAAGAAATATACTCATTTTAGTACCCATCCTAAAAGTTTGGATAGAAGCCTGTCTTAGCTTGTGAGTTTATTTTGCCTTGAATTCACGAATGGGTCACATAGATTCATTTCCCCAAACACTGGATGTTCTCACGATTCACTGCAAATGACCTATCAGTGAAGACTTATATGTGCAAATATGTGTAAATTAAAGGTTGGGGCAGAACTATGAAAGCATGGTATCTTCTTTGGAGCCGCGAAGATGGCTATACCATGAAGACGGCACTTGAATTTATCCCACCCCACTTCACTTCAAGTTTCATAATAAAAGAAACCACCAGCTAGGAAGTAAGGGCTTCCCACCAATACAGTATATTAACCTGAGTCTATCCAAGGCATTGTATACAGCAGGGATGAGTATATATGCCTCCTGAAGACCACACTATGGTCCCATAGCCCCGGTTTTGGTAAATATTATTTTATTTTACACACAAATAAAATGGAGGGACAAGTGCAGACTTCTGAGGTACCAGGAGACCTGTCCCCACTTTCCCAACCACTGGAAGCTATCCACCAATGACATAAAAACTCCAAAAATTAGTGCAAATTATGTATGTTTTAGTGGGAAACCAAAGAGGTAAAATGACAGACAGGCTTTTGTGCATACCAAATTCATCAGCCTTATACTGGATAACAGTGAGCTTAACTGGGGCTTGTAGAAGACATACTTAAAAATAGAACAGGTAAAATGGCTTGCAAAACAGAAGTCCTCAGGGAAGATGCTTCCAGCATGAGAAACATATGGCTACTCAATATCAGCAGAGCTGTATGTTTGTGAACTACAGTGAAATATTAACTCAACAACATGATTTTAGGACTAAGACTGTTCCCAACACGCCACTCTAAAAATCACTATTATATACAGTAGGGAGAAAAACAAGTAAGTCAGGAAGTTTTTATACCTTCATCTCCTCCTCCATTTCAGAGAGCTTCCGCTCCAGGGCTCGTTTCTCCTATTCAGATAACAATAGTTTTACAGTTATCATCTTTTCTACTATATAGGAAGAGATACTAATTATAGATAATTTAATGCAGATCAATGTTAAAGCATTAAGAGACAAAATGTTTCTCAAAAAGATAAAACAGCATATTTGAAAGAAAGAATTGCATTTTAAAGTGTATATGTAGAGCATTTTCATATGCATACAAGTACACGACATTTTCTACTGCTCATTTCCTTCCTTGGTTCTTTGATTTCTGAATTAACAATGACAATAGAGAACTTTGGGAAGTCTGGCCCCAATTTTTTGATTCTGTTATATTACACATGCTACAGCAAGTCTGTCATAAAAAAAGGAATTGACCAGATGTCTATTTCCACATGTGCCCCCCTCCCCCCAAGAATTTGAAGTTCTTTGGGGATTTGCAGTTGGAGGGGTACTCCAAGAAGAGTAAGTTTAAGTCTAAACCTAATAATAAGCATCGGCACCACCACTACTGTGGAAAGAACAAAAGAAAAACAGACACATTCTGGGAATAGAAACTATAATATAGTAGTGGTAGTAGCAGTAATAGTTAACTTGTTGCTTTTGCTTGTCTGATTTGTTTTAGATTCAAGAAAAAAAATCAATCAGAAAGTACTATGTAAATTGACTAGGTGGTACCAATTGGGGCATTTTAGTCAGAAATAAATAAATCCAACAATTTTGGGAGGATAGCATTTTTATGAGGTATCAAAACTAGTCTTGGGCCAATGTGACCTATAGGTCACCCACGTATTCCAGCCCCAGAAGAGGATTCACATGATAAGCACAGCATACTTACATGTTAAACTTGTTAGGCTTCATTTTTTTTACTCCTAAACCATACTAGATTTTTTTTCCTGGTTGTCTTAAAAAGGATATTATTTTAAACAAGTAACTGCAATACAATGAACCAGTACTGCACGCAGTGCATTCTGAATCATTCATTGGAATATATTTTACTTCACATATTTTAAAACTATTTATTGTTTGGCACCGAATGGTGCCTGCTGGTAGACGTCCTGAGTCCCTCTTTGGAGGTGAGAAGGACGAGATAGAAATGCTCCTAATAATAAATAAATAATAAATAAAACTAAAAATGCAGTCAAAATGACTTCTCTATTTACTGTAAAACAGTATCAAACACCACATTACTACAGCATTTTCTGGGACACAGTAGTAGCTATTTATCAACATTAAGAATGTTGTAACATGCTAGAAAGCTGAAAGGAACTGACAGTGAGCAAAAAATGCAGATAAACAAGTCTGAGAATGCAACTGGATCAGAAGCCAGATATTGCATAAGTACTGGTATGCCCAGGCTTTTAGGAATAAAGTCAATGTTTTATGGTCATATTCCCTCCCAAAATTTCTATCCCTTCTAAAGTTATGCTATATTACAAGGAAATGGATAATGAAAGGCAGAAACACATACCCTCTTTTCCATTTCAAGCATACTTGAACGGTCAGAGGTCTTTTCCTGCTTCTGCTATTGAAAGAAAAACAATATCAAAAATAGTTACAATCATGGGGAATGCTACAAATAAATGATCTGCAAGAAAAATAAACATTAAGAAATAATAGCACTTCCCAAGTACTTTCATTTTTATCCTTATTTGAGAAGCAATGGTAGTCCTTTTCAGATAAAATGAACCATAAACATTTCATTGCTCCAAGTTGTGTGGGCAGATCAAAAGACAACCTAAACCTATCACATGAAACAGTGTGTTTCTAGGGGCTTCAGCCCCCCCCCCCCAAATTCTCATAGTGGTCTGCGAAAAGGCCTTACTGGTGCATTATTTAAACTGTTATGTTTATTCATATCATGATCTGATCACCATGCTCAATATATCTCATATGCATGGGGGTATTGGGGTAACGATACGAAAGGTTTGCTAGGGTAGACCCTCTTTCACTCAGACTCAGCCCCCCCCCAAACTCAGCCCCCCCCCCCCAATCAAAATCCTGGCTACAGGTCTGGTGGTAGTAGCAGTAATAGTTAACTTGTTGCTTTTGCTTGTCTGATTTGTTTTAGGTTCAAGAAAAAAAAAACCTGGCAAAATGGCACTAACTAAAAGAATCCTCCTCGTTGTGTGACTGTGGAGCAACTCTGAATCTGTATGCTTTTCCGCAATGTCCTGTGTAATGGACTTGTACCTTTGTAGGCCGAAGCCGAAGCCTAGAAGTCAGTAAGCCGGCCTCCATGTTAGTGAGGGAATACAGTGGGGGCAGATCAGCAGAGGGGAGGAGCTCAGCTATCCCAGGATTGGCTAGGACAGATGGGAAGAGCTGGAGCTGGGAGTGTGAAAAAGGCAGGCAGCTTCTGACAGAGAGGGAGATTGGATTTTGATCTGAAGGGTAGTGGGTGGATTGCGAGTGAGCTGAAGTTTTTCCTGAGAGAGAGTGTTAGAAGGCAGGTGTGTCTAGAGAGAGTGGCCTGGAGGGTCGATAGCCATCTGTGAACTGGTGTGGGTGTTAACACACCAGTTGTTTATACTCTCTAAGGGTTAGGGTATTCTAGGGAAGCTAGATACTCTGGGGGACAGCCAGGGTAGCTGGTCCTAGCAACACACTGTTTCATGTGATTGATTAGTGTGGGGAAAGATAGCTCACGTCAGGGGAAAATTACCCCTTCTTAAGAAACCAGTTAATTAATAAGTCTGTACTTCTGAAACCAACGATACTTATATACCTCTCTATAATGAGTTGTCAGCTTCATGATCTTCAATAAACTTGTTCTCTAGTTAATTGTTAACATGCCTCTGCCTCGATTTGTCATACATAGTTAAATCAAGTCAGCCTCCACATCTTTGTAGTCCAGTCAACAGTAAGGGAGCCGAAAAGAAGACATAGGGACATTTTACCTCAGATACAATCACAAGTATATTCCTCAAGCAGTAACTTGAGGTGGTGGCGGCAAAAACCTACCAGTCCCACTCCCATCGTTCTCTCTCATCACCCAGTAATTTCCTCCAGGCAGGGAGGTGGGCGGTTCTCCTTTACATCCTGCCTCATGTACAGAGGAAGAATTGTTTGAGACTACAAACAATGTGATCACTGTTGCCTGTTTTTGGTAAAAAATATATTTAACCTCTTGTGCTCCTATTTTTATCAGTTTTATACTAATTTATGCAATGCTTTTGATATGAAATAAAAATTAAAAAGTTGTGTTTTTAGTATGACTTTTGCTTCTAGAGTTTCTTTACCTGCGCTATCTTATCCATCTTTGCTTTGATATCAACAAGTTCCACCTGGGCATCTTGCAGTTTTGATTTCAATTTTTGATTTTCAGACAGGGCACTCTCATAGAGCTGAATGGGGGGAAAAAGAGATGTCAATATCAAATAAGACTTCATCTGATAAATAGCTTCCCTACCCATTATTGTCTACCCTTCAAATAAGTAGATGTTACTGGAGCTATATTAACAGGTAGTCAATATTGTTGGGTAGCCTTCTTATTTTGGAAGACATTAAAAAGCAACCTACAAAATCAACAGTCAAATCCTCACCTTTAAAACTGTATTTCAGGGAACCATGAGTGGCTCCTTTGAAGAGTAACTATCCATTAAAATCAGGAATGATGACACAGATTTGTTTAAAAGGGAGAATGTGCAAAATATGGGAAATGTCACGGGTTTACCTAAGGCATCCAAATGATGCCTCAGGTAAACCCAAATTAATCCGGAGTCAACTGGGATACCTGGAAAGATATCTGATACCTGGAACGATCCAGATCTAAATGTAAGGTCTGGATCTTTATAGGTGTGGGCCATGGGGGATTGACTGCCAAGATCACTTCCGTCATCCCAGGGATTAATCTCTACTGCAATCCCGGTTCAATTGGGATCCAAGAGCCCAAAGGGGCATGATTGCATTCTCTCTCCTCCCAGCCTCCTCCCCATTTATCCCAAAAATTTACGTGAGGCACCTGGCTGCATGCTTAGGCACCTCGAGCAAAAGCTCCAGATGCACTCCTTTCTCTCAGCTGTGACAACTATTGATTTTTTCCTATATATGTAGAATCTGATAGGAATACTATTTAATTTCTGGGCATAACTTTCATTCATAACTTTCAGGTTTTATCATGTAATTTTCCCCATTTTATAGAGTTAAAGGAAGTGATCTGGTGCTTGGTTACTCAGCAAACCCATGAAAGACATAAAATGAAAGAAAGGACACAAATGCATCAAGTTCAGCTCATGCTGGATGATTTAAATCACCTCATTCAATGTATATATATATAAAGTTCAAATTTGGACTGTAACACTTAGTGTGTGTTTATTTGTTTTTTACCCCTCCCCCCAAATAATATTGCCTTGTTTTCTTGATATATTTAAATTCTGATGATTTGCTTCTTCGCTCATAAACACCAACTACCCATTGAAACTGCTGTTTATTGTTACTGAGAGAAAAGAGGTTGTGGAAGGGAAGCATTCAGTTTCAATGACCCACTTTTCTGTAATCCTTGCTACTATCCTCTTCTGCTCTAAGGGCAGCCAAACGATTCTCTCTTCTGGTGTAGGCGCTGCTACGACCTGAGGAGCGATCTCCATAGCTATCGCTGGTGCCAGTGCTTGAGCTTGCTGCATCCAACCTGGAGTCAAATGTAGTATACAACAGTCACCGATTTATAGATCAGTCATAAATTTCAGGCATGAAATTTGGATAATCTTGAAATTTAGGAAAAACAGATCCAAAAACAGTCTATAGATGAGATGCCCTTTTACATGATGATAGACAGATAAGTATGCAGACTTGATTAATTCACACTGCCCACCCAACTTAGCTTCTTTTTGCCATTTCTTTTTGTCAATATAAGTATGTTTCCGGAAATGGGTAAGTAGTTCAGATTAAAACAGATAGACCATTAAATCACTCCCCGTCTTAAAATGAATGAGTAGAAATCTAGAATCCAATTTTGCATATGGAGAATGGGAACATTCTATTTGTTCAAAAGTGCTGAGATTTTTTAAAGTTGCGGTATGTTTTAAGGACAAAACACATGCCTTTTGTATTTCTTACCTGGCCAGTCTTTCATGCTACAAAAGGAGAGAAAAAAGAGGACAGGATTAAAAACTAAAATGAAGAGTGTTCATATTCAAATTGTAAATCTAGTCATTTGTGTTTTACCATTATAGTAAGGCTCAAATGATAGGACCTTACCTGTAAGTTTGCCCAATATTTTAATATATGTGAGGATACAGGTACAATATAAATTTGTAAGGAATTTATTTATTTATTTATTTATTTACTTGATTTCTACTCTGCCTTTCTCAATCCGCGAGGGGACCCTAGGCGGCTTACAAATCCAGCAAAAATTCAATGCTGCACAGGTTTACAAGAAAACACATATCATAAAAATATAAACATATATAAATAAGTATAATATAAATAAGTGAGGATAAACGTATAATGTTGCAAATGTGACACAACCGCCCAAAGGCTGAAGAATTTTGAAACAAAATTTTACAAGTTTTAAGTGAAATAAAAAAGAATTTAGAACCATTATTAATGTTGTCAATTTTTGAGAGTCTAAGCAAATGTTTACAATATGAACAGTGATACCAGTGCTACTCGGATCTGAAAGACTGGACATTTCTAGGAGATGGAAGTAATTGATAGAATTTATCTGGGGATGGATGGACAGAAAATGACACATCTGAAATTATTTGGTGGCCATTTGTTTTATTTGTTTGCAAAAAAAAAATCCCTCACTGTCCATCAGCCTCCCAATTTAAAGATTGTAAAAATCCATTTTGATAATCACAAAATGATCCAATGTGACTATCTCAGGTATTATGGTTTTATTTTATTTTATCTTTATTGTTCCCCACTCCAGTTTGTTTCCCTTCCCTTGTGGTTGCTGTTAATCTACATTGTTACTACTCCTAATTGGTATGACGATTTATTATTTTCCATATAATTACAAAAAAACTAAATCAGATTTTTTTAAAAAAAACAACAACATTTAAATAGACTGCAAAACATTAAAGACTATAAGCCAAAATCCTTTTATAAGCATATGTTTTAGTACTGTATATTTATGACACCTGGTTTATGTTATGGTGACTGACCTTCGTTATTACACTAAGATTTTTAATACCACCCAATGGACAAATTCCCTAGAGGTTATGTACAAATATAAAAACATAACAAGCTATACTACTTTTAAAAAACCCATTGTACACACACATACACACATTCCGATCTGCAGAACTTCATGCATTGTGAATTAAGGTCATTTTGTAATTATGACCTCTCATCTTTGCATATTTAATTGTAAATGGATCTATGCAGCAAACAGATCAATATTTATTCAAGAAGTTATCATTTAATAGACAGAAGAAATGGAACAGATATGGCCAGAGACCAGGTACTATTCTTCCAAAGATGTGTTGCATGTTATGTAATGGCGTGTTTTGCTAAAGAAGAATGTTCTCAGAAACCTGTCAAAACCTTTCTTCTTTTAATCTACTATGTAAAAATTTCAATAAAAATATTTTTTTAAAGATGCAAAGTAGGATGGTGCAGAAATGCTGACTGCTACCCATTACCTTCAGGATTTCAGTAAGCTGAACTGAAATAGATTTATAGAAGTATAGCTTATAAATTGGTCAGTATGTATCTTAGATATTAACCCTTTATCACATCCAAAGATTAACAATGCAAAAATAAATGTTTATGTCGCCGCAATTGTTATACTAAGGTCTGTATTATAGGAAGTTTTAAATACTAAATATTAAATAAGATGGAAAGTAACCCTCTTCCCCTTCTGCTTAAATGCCAAGAGTTCTACACATTTATCGGTTGACTATTCACTAATGTTTATGAGGGATTACTGTAAATCCCAAGTGACATCTTGTTATCAGTCAACAAAAGAGGTTTGTTTAGAATATGGGAAGAGAAAGCTTTCCTAAGAAAGTAGATTGTGATTTGTCTACTTTGTTTGAAATCACGGCCGAAATACTGTGATAGTACAGACAAAACTGATCAATATGGTTCACTGTATACATGTAAAGATGTATACATACTACTGAAAATCTCAACTTGAAACAGCTCTGTTTTTGTATACCTATTTGAAGAATTTTCCAATGAAAAGCACTAAGACCAATATTAATCTTATCACATTTGGATGTGAGTTCTTAAGTTTCCATTTGCATCTTGAGATAATGAGTCTGAAAAAAAATTCCTTTTTTATTTTGCATATTGAAGTACTGAGACCCAGAGACAACTTCCCCAAAATTTCCCAAAAAAGCAATTAAAAGCTATTTGTCTCCGATATGTCAGATTTAGGATCAATAGTTCAGCCTTGAGATCATACTGACTTATAGGCTCATCATAAACTATTCACAGTTTAGAAATGAAATGTAGCTTCACCAGTATTCTTAAATATTATGTTTTGATTAAGAAATTGTTTCCCAAATCCCTAAGCTCTCTTATGTTCTTGAATATAATAGCTCTAACATGTTCGACATCCTAGAAATTCAGTAGACAAAACCGAACTCATGTCATGTGGTTCAAAGAATCATTTATCTCCATCAAATTTGATAAAAGTCATTAAACCATTTTCACAAGCTGCTTTTAAAATTCATTACAGGAGTTTATATACTCCTGAGCCAATCCCTTTCCATAATAGTTTTTCATACCATGTCATAGTTATTGAGATAATCCATTTAATTTAAAGATTATATGATTTTAAAGCCAAAATATTTATGTTCTGTAACACCAAAAAATTGTTCAAATAGGAAACGCCTTCAAAGAGGCCTTAAAAGGTAGACAAATAAAAAAGTGATGTGCATGCTAGAAATACATACATGTGAATTCAGCTTGTAAGAAAAAATTGCATGTAAATTCCAGACAAGTTACAATCAAGCACACCATCCATTTAAATATAAATCTACAAAGCATGAATCACTTCTTGCAAAACAAAAGTCTAACCTGCATTTTATGGGAGTAAGTTTAAAGCAAGATAGCCTTATAAGCAAAGTCTTAAAGAAAACACTGAAGTCTGAATCTACATTTATTAGAGAACCCTATGAGTTCTCTTAGTTTAGACATGCTTAGGGCAAGAAAATACACATCAGGAAGAAATATAGCCACAGCAACAGAATGCAATCAAATTGCTCAACCAAATGGTGTAACTGTAGCCACCTGTTCTTGGAATTAAGTTCCAATGAAGCAGCATGATTTTAACCGATGCATTATCAAGTCACACAAGTAAATAAAAACATAAGTCAACAGGAAGTAATTTAACATTTCAGATGTTTGCCTTGGAAAGCTTTTGCTTCTTTTAATACTTGGGATCTTTGTATATAGTTGGCTTGTTTGTATCCTACATAAACTAATATGGTATTATTAAGTTTATTAAAACTGAGGCTGGGACAAAAGTGAACTTTCTGTGAGCAGCTGTGTTATGAATCAATTTAGAAAGAAAAGCCAGCCCTTGACATGACTGCAGCTGTTGGCAATGACCACATTTTAATTAAGGATCCAAAGCAGTTCCTGTCATGAGTCCAGAACAACTGGCTACAAGTATTCTTGGAAGGATGGAGGAGAGAAGGAATGATTGGGTAGTATTTTCTACTTTTGATGAAAAGGAAAAAAGAAACTCCTTTCCTACTCTTAGGAGTAAGTCATATTAAACAATTCCCAGCAACTGATGTGACTATTCTGTATAGAAGCAACTTATATGAAGCTCTCCTTTTCAGATCATTGACAGCAGAAACACTTTCTGAAGACCGTTTGAATAGAAATTAGTATTCATATATGCAACAGATATTAAACTTTTTTTTAAAAAAAAGAAAGATATTAGATCACATTCCTTCTGCAAGCCTCTGGGATGTATTTAAAGAGTAGTAACTATTATAGAAAATAGGAGCCCCTGGTGACGCAGTGGGTTAAACCCTTGTGCCAGCAGGACTGAAGACTGACAGGTCGGAGGTTCAAATCCAGGGAGAGTGCGGATGAGCACCCTCTGTCAGCTCCGGCTCTCCATGTAAGGACATGAAAAAAGCCTCCCACAAGGGTGGTAAAACATCAAAACATCCAGGCATCCACTGGGCAATGTTCTTGCAGACAGCCAATTCTCTCACACCAGAAGCAACTTGCAGTTTCTCAAGTCGCTCCTGACACACACACACAAAATATACAGAAATTTATCACCAAAACATTGAACTTAAATTGCCATTGATCATTCTGCTGCCACTGGGTGTTCTGATGTATAGAGATTTAAAACTTCTAAGTGATAGTCCTATGACTTTTAAGCCTGCGTCAAGCACTGAACAGGCAAGTTTAGAAGAGGTTTACACTCTTGTTTATTAATTGTATTTAGTGTATATCCTACCTTTGTTGTTGCACAGGACCCAAAGGAGTTATGTATGTATGCATGGAAAGAGGCAACATCTTTTCGATTTCTCAAAAACAAGTCATGCCAGACTAATCTTATCTCTTTTTTTCTATAGAGTTACCAGTTTGGTATAAGCAGGGGGTGCTATGGATGTAGCATATCTTGATTTCAGTAAGGCATCTGACAAGGTCACCCATGATCTTCTTGCAAACAAACTAGGGATTTTGGGTTGTATCAAAAGTAGTACAGCGTCTACATCAAGGGAAGTAATGGTGCTCCTCTATTCTGTTTTGGTCAGACCTCACCACAATGGAAGAGAGATACTGACAAGCTGGAATGTGTCCAGAGGAGGGCAACTAAAATTATCAAAGGTCTGGAGACCATGCCCTATGAGGAGTGGCTTAGGGAAGTGGGTACGTTTAGCGTGCAGAAGAGAAGGTTGAGTAGAGACATGATAGCCATGTATAAATATTTGAAAGGCTGTCATAAGAAAGAGGGAGAAGGCTTGTTTTCTGCTGCCCTGGAGACTAGGGCTCGGATCAATGGGTCCAAATTACAGGAAAGGAGATTCCACCTGAACATTAGGAAGAACCTCCTGACCACAAAACCTGTTCAACAGGGGAGCTCACTGCCTCAGAAGGTGGAAGCTGCTTCTTTGGGAGTTTTTAAATAGAGGCTGCATGGTACTTTGAT